AGAGTTCTTTGCCATGAGGTGCCATGTTGAACTTCCAGTGACCAGTGTGAGAGAGTGAGAGCGATAACACCAAATTTAACACACCTGCTCCCCATTCACACCTGAGACCTTGTAACACTAATGAGTCACATGACACCGGAGGGAGAAAATGGCAAATTGGGCCCAATTTGGACATTTTCACTTTGGGGTGTACTCACTTTTGTGGCCAGAGGTTTAGACATTAATGGCTGTGTGTTGAGTTATTTTGAGGGGACAGCAAATTTACACTGTTATACAAGCTGTACACTCACTACTTTACATTGTAGCAAAGTGTCATTTCTTCAGTGTTGTCACATGAAAAGACAAAATATTTACAAAAATGTGAGGGGTGTACTCACTTCTGTGAGATACCGTATAACTCACCTTCCATCTGAAAAGTTCAGTTACAGTATAGATTCAGTCATATGGCACAGTGAGGACATTTACTGCATTGACAGAAAACTCTGTTCAAGCACAAAAGCTTATGGCCATGTCATACCTTCATCACAACTTTTGATAAATACTTTTACAAACATGATGGATTTTATTTGAGTTATGCAAGTTAGGTAACGTAAGTGTATTTTCTAACGTGACAATTATTGCCTGTATTACTGTAATTATTTCAGCAAAAAAGGTGGTTTGAAACATGTATCTTGCATTGTTTGCTCTTGAATGAACTGATTGTTAAAAGTACTAAATTGAAAGAAAATCATACTGTTGTGTTTTGGTGATTAAATCAAATGTTCTCAATATACAGTATATTACAATAACCTTATGCTTTGAAACAATGATCGTGTGGATGAAAATATGTATAATTGTAATGAGATCAGTTTTGAAAGAATGACTAGTGATGTTACAAGTGTGATCAGTTTGGATTGTTGTACTTAGAGTTTTGAAAATATACACCTTATTTGTGAAAATAGTACCTAAGTGAAGAAAAAAAAACAAAAACGTAAAACCGAAATCAAAATATTTTGGGCTGAAATGTGTCCTGGAGGTGTTTTCATGAGATTCACACAACTATGAGACAGAGATGAACAAGCCAATCAGGTAGGCCAGCCTCAAAGTATTTAATGAACATCACTTACACAAAACCAGAAACAGTGTCGGTACAGATATTTGCTTCTTCAGCCAGTTTCAGTCTGAATATGCCAGAGGTTCTCCTACTGATCTAAAAGCTCAAGCTTAATCCCAGGGCTAGATCGAGCATTTATTCTCTGGCTAAAAGAGCCATTACATCCCTTGATTGTCTATGCATTAGTAACAAATCCCAAGATCTCATGAGGATTCAGTCATGTATCTTCAGTTTGTGTAGATAACAGACAGTATACAGGGACTACATTTGTTTTTTCCTGAAAGCACCAGAAGAGCAGTTTTTATGATTCAAGTTAAAGAACAACAGCATCTGATTGGCTGAGCTATGGAGAAAAATGATTTTTGCAGAGATGAAATCAGCGCACTTTAAAAATACCAAACTAAAAGAAAATGCCAGGTAACAGCATTGGCCTATGAGTCAAAGGTAACACTTCACCAGAAAAACTAATTTCAGTAATTCCCTTTAAGATAATACATTTACTGAATGGTGATTATAGTTAAAAGGCACAATATAAATATATACAGGAAAAGAAACACATAGACACACACATCTATGAAAACAACGAAGATTACACATTCTTAATTGTCAAAGCTGCTTGAATAAAAATGCTTTTTCTTCAAGCTCAGTAATGTTCAGTCAAAGTCTTGCCGCAATTAGGAATCTTACACCTAAGCCTGCTCGTAAAACCACCTTCAACCAAAATTGAAACAATCACTTATCACTGACCAGAAATGTACTGCACACTTTCACAGTTTTTCTCCCAAACATGTACAATTGAAAGAAAACAGTCACAGGCTGGGGCCCTGTAGCTTCGAATCCATGGGTCATTTTGCAAAATTCCACTCAGCCACATGATTTTTCTCAGGAGACAAAAATGCAGTTAGTTCATGTGGCTCATAATTGCATTATAAACATATAACAAGATATATTTCTAATGGGACAGTATCATTCCAGGAGCCTATGTTCATCTTAATATGGATTTTAAAGAAATGGCTTACCAAAAAATGAAAAATAAATAAATAAATCTCAGACGTTCACTGAAAATCTTCCCATCACAGCTCTGAAATCTCTGCATTTGCATTCAAATTCAGCATGAACTTCGGCAAGAAATGTCACACAGAGTTTCAGCTGTTGATTAGGTCTCATAACTGAATGAGATTCACAAACAATCTTCCCCTTCACTGTAGCTCTAAAGCAGGGGTGTCAAACTCAGTTCCTGGAGGGCCGGAGCTCTGCAGAGTTTTGTTCCAGCCCTGCTTCAACACACATACCATGTAGTTTTCAAATAAGCCTGAAAGACTTGATTAGTTGGATGAGGTGTTTGTTTAATTAGGGTTAAATCTAAACTCTGCAGGGCTCTGGCCCTCCAGGAATTGAGTTTGACACCCCTGCTTTAGAGCTACAGTGAAGGGAATGATTGTTTGTGAATAAATTAAATTCAGGTCTGTTCCTCATTGTATGACTTCTATCATATAACATGCTAAAGGTATTTGACTTATGGTGATTTTTGCAGTTTGAAGCCCCTTTCCCCATTAAAATTTCATTGAATGCAAACGTGAACATTCTTCTAAACATCTCCTTTCATGTTTCACGAAAGTCAGTCAGTCGGTCATACGGATTTGGAATAAAAGTAATATAAATAATGCCAATTCTCATTTTTGGGTGATTTATTCTTTCAAAAAAGAGGGACAAAAAGTACAAAAAGAAATTTTTTCCATTAGGCACTCTATAATTCACATTGCCTGATTTAAAGCAGAAATGATGAAGTGTGTTTGAAGGGTAAATGAAAGTAGATCCCTGGAACTGAAGAACATTTAGGAAAATTTGTATATAGATACTGTAAAAATGAAATTGGATCTATGCTAAACCCTGTAGGTACCATCTGTAGACAGATATTAAACAGGCCACATCTGCAATCCGTTTTAGGATTGAAATAATTGCATCATTTCGTGTAGGCTTCTAAAATAATGTGACCTGACATCTCATAAGAACCATTATCCTGACCTTTGGAATGAGTGCAAATCAAAACGACTCCAACTTACTTTTCAGCCCTTTAAAAAGAATGCAAAAAAAAAAAAAAAAGACTAAGTTCACTCCTAAGTTTCTGTACCAGTGCAGACCTTTGGTCATGGGTTGTTCCTTTGGTGAATCCAGTTAAGTTGAAGATGGTAAAGTACATCCTTTTTCCAAGAGAAACATGCGGTGAGAATGGGAGACAGTTTTTTTTCCTCTTTTCCTCATGTACGGTTGTGTGGCATCCCAGTGCAATATTCAACCTAGGGGGAGGATAGCTGCCATTGAGGGAATGGAGGGCTTGTGAGATCGTGTCACAGATCTTCTTGAGTTCTTGTCTATGACCACTAACGTCCCAGAGTCTACGTCAGCTGCTCCACGGCTGCGCTGGATCAGGTTAGGGGTGGATGGGATTGCTGATGGGTGCAGCCGGAGAGATCCATGTCTTACATCCAGCTCCATCTATAAGAAGTCCAGTTCCAGAGCTTGGTGAAGAGAAATCAGGTCTCCGTGAGACGAGATTCGCCAAAACGGCATGTTGTGCTAAAGAGTGACGGGGCACATGGATTAGATCAAACATACACAGATCAATAAAAAGAACTTTTAATGAAAATGTAAATCAATAGAATAAAACAACATTTGTGAACCTTTACGTCAGGCCTGTTCAGCTGGGAGAGTCCGGACATTACTAAAGGGCCTTTCGCACCGCGGGAACCTTTTCATAGTACCAGAACTAATTGTGGAACTACTCACTTTTTGCCATTTTCGCACCGCCGGAACTGGGTGTGATTGTAGTACCGGACTGCCTTTTTTGAGAACCAAATTAGCTCCTACTCCGGAGCAGGGTCTAACCAGCACAACTGGAACTAATTGTGACGCAAGTAGACATTGATTGGCCAAACGCGTATAAAACCCCCCTCCCCCGCCATGATTTAAAACGCCGTGTAAACATACTGTAAACATTGTGTCAACTTATTTCGCAAGTATGGAGAACAGCGATAGATGGACGGATGCTGAAGTGCAGGCACTTGTAGCAAATGTAACACTGCCAGTTGTCGTTGGAGATTCTTAGTCCTCCTTTCCGTCTTTCAATCGCTTTACGTATACGTCGACATTCCATGTCCATTATTGTGAAACCCGTGTGAGACAACAAAAACACAGCTCCGATCACAGCGTCCTCCATCCTCCTGTTGTTAATGTTGTTCTTCTTTGTTTCTGTTGTTGAACGCCGCGCACAAATGACGACGCTGTCGACCGGCTTACGTCTTTTCCTAGTACACACTCTCGGTGCGAATGCAACCCTTTAAATGGTACTGGGAAATAGTTCACGCAAAATCGTCCCAGTACATTTAGTTAACTAAATGTAACTAAAGCAGTGCGAAAGGCCCTTAAATGCGCTAGCTTTTAAAAGTTTGCAGTCAGTAAGAAAGAAACAAATTGTTACTTTTATTCAGCAAGGAGGCATGAAATCGATCATTTCTTTTGAACTTTTTATTCGTCATAGAATCTCACAAAAAAATGTATCAGTTTCCTCAAAAATAATGTGGAAGTTCACTTCACGAATGGCTTTGCACTCGCCTACAACAGAGATAGTATTTCTCACGCAGGTTACGTCTTTATGAAGTGAACAAGAATCTTATAACGCCGTTTTAGAAAGTATTGTTAGGTACGGTATTACGGTATGGTTTGGTAACCTGTCAGTACAGCTTAAATCTAAGTTGATGCACCTGGTATTGACAGCGGTGAAAATTGATGGGCACGATGAACATCTTAACCTTCGAGATTTATATGAGGAATGCATCTCAGTCAGGTAGACAGGATTCTTGGGGATCAGACTCATTTCCTGCATTCACAGTATGAACTGCTTCCCTCTTGTAGAAGATATAGAGTCCCAGTGTGTAAATTAAATCTGTATAAGAACTCTTGTACTTCGTGTATCTGTACGACTGTTTAACAAGTGTTTATCTTGATAGATCTTTATCATTGTTTACTGTTATTATTATTTGTTTATCGTATGTCTTTGCAGCAACATGTCGTCCATAACAATTTTCCTTTCGAGGACAATAAAGTATATTACTACTATAAGCAGCAAATCAGCATATATGATTTCTGAAGGATCATGTGACACTGAAAGACTGGAGTAATGATGCTGAAAATTCAGCTTTGATCACAGGAAGAAAAATATATTACAATAGAAAAAAACCTGCTTGTACCTGCTTTGCTGCAAACTCTTCATCACGACCGTCCCCTATAACAACATAGGTCACTTTGTTCCCAAAGCGTGAGATGATGCGTTCAAAGTATATTACTACTATAAGCAGCATATCAGCATATATGATTTCTGAAGGATCATGTGACACTGAAAGACTGGAGTAATGATGCTGAAAATTCAGCTTTGATCACAGGAAGAAAAATATATTACAATAGAAAAAAACCTGCTTGTACCTGCTTTGCTGCAAACTCTTCATCACGACCGTCCCCTATAACAACATAGGTCACTTTGTTCCCAAAGCGTGAGATGATGCGTTCAAAGCAGCTCTCTTTTCCTGTTAACAGAAGTTACAGATAATTTGTTACACATAACATGTACATATCCTTGTGCTCAGTTCATCAGATTGATACCCTGGTTAATGTCTGAAGTAACATTTTTGGTAAACCAAACCTATTACCTATTTTAGTGGCGCTGTAGATGTTCTCGACGGGAAAGACGTCACCCAGTCCATAGAGAAGCACTTTAGCTAAAGCAGGAACCAGCTGAGTGGTGGTGACCAGAACATTCATACATCTGCCCCTGTGAACAAACACCAAAAAAATTAGCCCATTGTTAACGTGTACACTTAATTAAAGCTGAAGGATCTACACTGAGAAACCGGTTTAGCGTGTTGCTCTAGCACATCACACACAATGTTTAATGGCTAGAGGTGGATCGGATGATTTCCACTAAATCATGCATGTTCTGAGAACAGACACAGGCCTCACCTTGACTGAATGAGCAAGAGAGATTTGAGGGCAGTGCTCAGCCAGGCATCTGTAATTGTCTCAATCTCTGAGCGCAGCCTGAGCAGTAGGTCTCTCTTCATTGGGCTTAGCAGACCTGCAAGATCAGCAGAAGATACTGGCATTAAAATACATACATATAAGGCTTATTGATAAGCAGTAACTTAAAGATACTGCTGGACCTGGTCTGTATAGCTAGTTAATCCATGTAACACAACTAACAATGTAATGTTCAATTTTCAGCAATGACAAAATTTCCGATGTAGATTCTATGGTTCATTCCTTACTACCCTTTATATATATATATATATATATGTTTTTATTTTTACACAATTGGAGGAACATGTTCACCTAATGTTGTTGTGCGTTCATGACAAAGTTTTTTTATTGTTTTTTTTACTTCCTTAGTATTCTTTGATTATTATCAGCATCTCTTCATTCTCTCTTCATTGCCATCTGGAGCAGCACTTAAAACCTTTCATTGTGGACAACAGAACAAGCCAGTTTCACCCTTTAAGCTAAATCTTGGAGTTTATAAGACTAGTTTATTGATTTTTTTATAATTTAGACACCTAGAACAAATCCACATTTGTGTCTGTATTCTATGTTTTAGGTGCAAAACTTCATTGTAGAAAACTTGTCCAAGACATAGGCCAAACAGTATTTGTTAGCCATATTCCACAAATGCACGATCACAGAATGAAACATTGACAAACCTCAATAAAATAGTGAATGAAAGGTATTATTCAGTAACATGCTAAATCCAAGATTTAGGATTTGTTAATGACTAGAAAGTTCTCAAGAACAACATTTATTTGAAACAGACATCCTTTGTAACATTATAAACGTCTTTACTGTCACTTCATGGCATCAACACAAGTGAGGCAATAATGAACTGAGAATACACAGCTGAAGGTCTGTAGACACCAAGAATGAAAACTATAAAGATAACTACAATGATAAATACATTAGTGTCCACACAAACGCATAATAATATTTAGTTTTTTATAAGCATACACTATAGGTACGCCATCTGTCGCTTTCAATGCTCAAGCTCTTTAAGGCATGATGGATTCTGATTGGCTGTCAATGTTCTTATTCATCAGCTGAAAACCCCCCCTCCAAAAAAACCACACAACCCGTGTCAGTTCCATCAGACAGCACACATGAGGCTGCCATGAACTTCATTCCAGTATTCCTGATTAGATATCAACTAAATATGAGAGGAAAGTATGCTAGAAGGCAAGGCAGGGAACTACTACTTGACCAAGTAATAATGGTACAGTAAGAGCACCACCGTGTGGGAACATGCAACGTGGTTTGGAGCAGAGTTACAAGACACACTCTCACCTCCCACATTCCCTTTGAACCCGTTGTAGATCTCTTTGAGCCGGCGATATCTGAAGGCCAGCTTACGCATCCACTCTACTCCTCCCTGTACCGTGGAGGTGGACCCTGGACCACCGCCCGCACTGGGCCCGCTGAAGCCATCGCTGGAGAAGCTGTAGTTGCTAAGCCAGAATGATCACTATTAGATGTGTTATTACAGACTAAACTAAAAAACAATTACTAAGAGCTTTTACACATAGCCTCTGTCATAAATGTAATGGCAAAAAGTGTTATTGTAAGGAGTTGTAAAATTGCTTGAAAACTCGTCATGAAGTTTGACTTGGTTTCATTACCTCAAGTCCTGTCCGTTGTCATCTGAGGCAACATCATCAACATGGACCTGATCACATTCCTGTGTTGACAGGAGGGGTGAATGTTATTTACATGAACATAAAGCAAACTGACCCTTGTTTTACTCTGCTTACCTCCAGATCATTGAAGAAGAGATGTGTGTCTGCGAGCTCAAAGATCAGTTCCTCCATCTGAAGACCCAGATTGAGAACTGTTGCTGGGTCCTGAATAAATAAAAGCATCCCAGGAAACAGCAAGAATGTGAGAAGGGAAAAAACAGGCATTACTTCTGCCAGTTTATAAAAGCAATTCTGTACCTTGCCAAACTTCTGTGCAAATGAGCCGGTAAGAAGAGAGTGGAAAATTATGATGGTTTCATCCAGATCCCACAAGAAGATACGCTGAGAAAAGAAAGAGTTTGATATCATGTTTGTTGCAACTGGCTGTTGCCCAATCCACTATGCTCATCTAATGATTCATTGCTCTACTCTCCATTTTAGTGCATTTAGCAAAAAATAAATAAATAAATGATAAATTGCAAAGCTGACTGTTTAAGCTGAGCAAGCTCAATTTAATGCATTTTTTCTTTGTGTCAACGTTTCCATACTCTTCAGAATGTGTCGTTAAAACTATGCAGGTTGCTTCATTACCTCAAGGTCATTGTCTGTGGATTGGGAACCATCAGATTTCTTGGCTTTGCCTTTAGCTTTGCCAGGAGGGTTTTTGCGGTTTGTCTCGTCTTGGTCACTTTCTCCTGTGGGAAGGGCCATCCCAGCAGGCAGAGCCACACCTGTTGGGAGCGTCACACCTGGGGATGCATCTGATAGAATGAGCAAAAAACATGAACTGCAATGAGAGCCAGAAGACTGAGGGCATCCACAATGATTATCTAGTCCAGGGCCCGTATTCTTAAAGATTCTAAGAATCCTCTCAGAGAGCTCCTAATTTAGCTTAAACATTTCTAACTAGGAGTCTTAGCTTAAAAGTGATTCAGGACCAATCTGAGAGCGAGGAAAAGACAAAAAACTTTTATCTTAGTGAGGAGGCAGGGCTGACCCTGTTGCTAGCTATGACACAGTCTTTTGAAGACTGTGATTGGTTGGTTGTCCAAGAAGGAAATAAAAGAGTGCTTTTAAGAGTAGGGTCTATTATAAGCCTTCACTTTGAAATTACAGGCGTAATTTTTCCTGTTTTATCTCTCTCTCTCACACACACTATATATATATATATATATATATATATATATATATATATGTATATTCTTTATTTTTTATTTACCATGCTGACATACTTAATGTATTTTATAGGAAATGAACAGCGACACAATAAGGTTCTGAAAGTGCTGTACTTGTTTGTGCTTTCACTTTGCTTATAGAAGGTTGTGACAGACCCAAATCATCACTGCTGCATAGTTGCATTTTTCCAGTTGTCAAATATGTTAATGTAGTTAATCTAGTGATTACTTCCATTTCTGGCGCAATGGCATTTCTGCGCGGTGTCTGAGATGTTATCCTGTCTCTAATAAGATCGGTCACAAACATAATCCCTGTACGATCTAATGTGTAGCGTCTTATTAACTCAGTCATGCATTGTGTGCAATACATTTCTTCTCTCGCTTTATGTTTCGTCCATTTTCTCCACTGCTAAAGAAACTCTTAAGCCTCTTAAAAGTCATCGTCCGTACTACTAACAATTTTGGACCTTAAGACATCTTTTAAGGGTTAAGATGCTTTCTGAATTACTTTTTTCTTTACTTAAATTTTATATGAATTACATTGGAATTAAGTCATAATTTAACCAAAATAAATTTTTAGTATAGTAATTTCACACTATTTTTAGTATAATATATACATTACACATTATTGTTCTGAAGTTTGGGGTCAGTATTATTTAAAAATGTTTTAGAAAGAAATCTCTTATGCTTACCAAGGCTGTATAAGACTGCAAGACTATTTTCTATTGTAATATATTTTACTTTTATAGTTTATTCCTGTGATGCAAAGCTGAATTTTCAGTAGCCATTACTTTCAGTCTTCAGAAATCATTCTGATATGCTGATTTACCGCTCGCGAAACATTTCTTATTATTTAATTTATTATTTCTTGTGTTGTGTCAAATCCAATAGATCCAATAAATGAGATGCACTCTCCTAATCAATCCTGGAAAAGGAACCAGGTGACCTAAAAACTGACATGAGTGATTTAATTGTGCAAGATTTACAAAGGAAGCAGGACAAAGAAGAAGAGCAAGAGGACTATAAATAAAAATAGAATATATGAGCAACTGATATCTTGTTAGTTTCATAGAATTGAGGCGAGAGGACAGCAGATGTAATGTGCAGGCTTAATGTGTTATACTTGTGCAGCAAAGTATATAATGTAGAATTAGAGCAAAAGGTCATGTATCTCTCTCTTTGCAATGAAAAGGTGTTGCATATGCAACCAAAATGTATATATATCTCCTGCTTAGCAACAAAAGCTTGCTGCAGAATGCTGGAAAGGAAGTGAGGTGTTGAGCTTGACTTGTATGTACAAATAAGTACATTTCTTTGTAACCCATGCAGACTATAAATTGTGAAGCTTGTAAGAGCTTGTTATGTTGATTTTATTCTGAATTTGTTCATTAAAGCGAAGCCATTTTATGTGGTGATGCGTTACTCCTCTCCAAACAAGTCTCAGAGTAATTTTTTTCTTCATTAGCTATTATCTGAACCTAAACATTAATCCCATCGAGCCTCAAGAGCATCCGGACCTGACTGAGTTTGGCACGGACTCCCCCACAGATTTCTAACCAACGGGCAGTGCTCTCAGTCTGAAGGGGAGAACAAATCTTTTGATTTGGAATTGGATTTTTGGATTGTGGAGATGTGTGTTGGAGTACTTAGTTATTTAGGGGGAATATAAATACAACAGTTGAAAAGTCGTGCTTCTTAATATTTTTGTCAAAGCATTTTTTTCAGGATTCTTTGATGAATAGAAGGTTTTAAAACATCATTTATTTTACATAGAAATTGTAACATTATGATTTTCTTTACTGTCTTTTTGGTCACTTTAATGTGCCCTTGACAAATAAAATGGTTACTGACCCCAAATGTTTGAATGGAAGTGTGTGGCTTTTTATATGTAATATAATTTAAATGTGATGGCGCCGACGCTGATGGCTGCCTCCGTGGCGTGCTCCGCAGTTGTTTTTATGTTTTTGTTAGTTTGTCCTGTCTTTAGTTATATCCCTGCAATCAGTTTCACCAGAGACAAATTGCTGGACATTCGGAAGTACACACCACCCGATATTTCACCGGTTTTTGACTATTCTGATGTTTTGCTGGACATTGTTGTCGGGGGAGCAGCTGCGCCGATCAAGCGCTTCAGGAAGCGCAGACGGGGGAAGCGAGCTGGCGCGCTCGTGAAGCTCAGACAGCGTGGATTCAGAACGCCGCTGCCGAGCATCCATCTGGCAAATCTCTGCACTCTACCCAACAAAACAGACGAACTCCTTCTGCTCTCCCGGACAAATAAGGATTTTTCAAACTCTGCTGCTCTGTGTTTCACGGAAACCTGGCTGAAAGACGCAATCCCGGACAGTGCGTTGAGTCTCCTGGGCTTTCAGCTGTTCAGAGC